TGCAGAAGTATATTTGAAGTGGACTAAACTACCCACAAAAAATACTTTCCATTTAAGTACTGTATTTTTTAAAGTATTGAATAAATTACTTAGTATAAATACAACTGCCTGCTGCTGGATCAGGTCTGATCAACTGTGTTTTATAAGCCCTACACCAGTGGTTCTTAACCTGTTTAACCATTGTGGGCCACATATGCAACTCTCTGTGTTATGTGGGCCTCATCCACACAATATGTATATTACCTATATGTCCCTCAGGATGTCACATGGGCCACAGCTGTGTGCTGATTGGGCTGCAAACAGCCCACAGGCCGTGGGTTGGGAACCACTGCTCTACACTGATAACAGGTAACGGAGACTCTACTGTAGTTCAAGAAGTGGGGCCTGTTTTGATGCAAGAGGCTCTGAGTACTGCAATGAAGTACTGAGTGGCCCAGTTGTGCAGCAAAGTGACAACTGTGAAGTTCCTGGATGGCTGCAGAATTGTTACCGTATATTAAATACCAATACCAAGCACCAGCCAGTCATACCCTTTATAAACACAGGAACTTTGCTTCTTAGCAAGAATACAACAACAAAAACCTCCCATAAGCTTTTCCTCTGTAGAAAGGAAAAGAAAGATTGTTAGTGGGGGAACAAATGACTTTTCAGGTCTTTGTCCTGTCATAAACAGGAATTTCAAAATGGTTTTGAAGTTTGTTTCACTATATGAATGGCCTTGCCTGACCCATCCTAAAAAGCAACTCTGAAAATACCTCCATGTAACTAAAAACAAGGCCAAGTAAAAGTCTGACAAAAGTGAGGCTGTTTGAAAAAGTCTGAGAGTAACTTGGTATGTGCTGGGGCTGGAAGTTGGCCATCTAGGTGGTATGATGGCACGAACAGCACATAACAAGAATATTTCTAGGGTTTTCTGGTGCTTGATCTTCATTGCCGATGTGACACCATATGAGTGGTCAGCAGAACTCTGAGCACAGTCTTCCAACACAAGAAAGTCAATGTTGTACCCGTTCTAATTCCAACATGGCATCACCAGCCCTACAAATCCCCCTTGTACAATAAATACTGCAGTGTTCTACAGGCCACCTCATCCCAGCAGGTATTTCTACTGCCATTTTGGGGACTCTAATTTATAGGCAGCCATGACAGGCATTAGGGGGTTGATATTTGCCCCAGCGGCAGCTCTCAGTTCCTTGCTCCCCACATTTCAACAGCACCTTTTTTTCCCCAAAGGCAATTTTTATCACACCCACCATTGCCCCATATTGAGAACTTTCTCCCTTCTTCATTGCCTTATACTGAGCCCACCCAAATTCCCTCTTCCCCTTCAGGCCAGGCTGGTTGGGTCACTGGCCAGAATGCTATGCTATAAGTACAGACCACAGCAAACCTTGTTCAGATCCCAACCATCTCGAGCACCCTCCTCTTCAACCCACATCTTCCCCTCGCCCTGGAAACCTCAAACCTCACCTCCTCAATGCAGGTTTTTGACCAGTCAGGCCAAAATACAGGCCATAAACCAGAATGAGCGGGATGCTTTCAGCCTCTAAAGCACTCTGGGCCAGTCTGCCCCAACCCTGCCCCCCTCTCACCTTCCCCTGTGTAGTTTTGGCATTATTATCTTGCTGTCGTTAGTTTGCTATCATGAGTTTGTTTGAGACGGGCCTGTGACTGGGTAAAACAGCCAGGAAAGAGTTAAGGGCTACCTGCCTGTCACATGAGCTAGCAAGGGATTTAAGGGAGAGGTGTGGCTTCCTTCCACCACTGAGAGGAAAGGTGAAAGGCCTCTGAGGACTACAGGCCACGCTGGGCAGGGGAATTGCTTTGTTTGGTGTTACTCCTGAGTTTTTGTGTTTGATCAATGAACTGTGCTGAGAGGCAAGGGCCTGAAATGGACTTGGACAGGGCACTGTTTCTTTCCTGAGCTGGAGGGAGAGCCCACCAGCACATGGAGCCCAAGCCCACAGAGCTCAGGTCTTTATTAGGATATCGAGCTGAACTTTCCCAAAGTGTGGAGTGTGTTGATCCTTTCCATTCTACAGAGAAGGGCAAGCCCCAAAGTTCAAATCCATCTCCAAACAGCCCCAGCATCTGTGGGTGTTTGGAGAAAGGATTTTGAACTGAACTAGTCTCTAGTCTTTATTATGAATTCTTGTCCATCACCCTGAGCACCTCAGCAGGTTTACTTACAAATAACGTTCCTTGCAATTACATGCAGAAATATCGGGAAAATCCATGAGGCTCCCATCCCAGAATTTCTTCTGAATTGTTCCCATGGGGATGTGGGATTTACCCCACTCTACACAATGGACATGGGGTTCTCTCCCTAAACTAGAGCATCTATATTGCTTCTATGGCCCCTGACCCCATCCCCCTCTAATATATCCATATGGCAAGACCTCCCCTGGTGGCTGCTGCTCCTGGAAACTCGGAATGTTGGGGTTCCATCTCACATAGGAGACAGCACCCAAAGTAATACTGACACTGGCAATATTAAGGTGGGGGTCCTTGTGGGTTTGGTGGATGGACAATGTACAGGGCACTGATGAGCTGGTAGGGGAATCCTGCAAGCCTCTTGTTACCAGGTCTGGCCCTTGGGGTCCTATAAAAGATAATCCCAGCTTTCATTTAGAATGAAAGTCTCTAGCCCTTTGTCCTTGTGAAGAGTCTAAAAATACATAAACTGAGGTAACCCAGTCACTAAGATTGAATGCATCTGGATGTATCTTGAATGCATTTGGGGGTCCACTTCTGCAGCAAGAGACTAGAGGACCTCAGCATACGCACACCCTTTTTAGGAAATACGAATCAGCTATGCTTCAGGTTTATTCCAAAACCCAACTCCCTAATTTTACCCCACCCTGTCCCCAAATCCCCACAAGCCCTGTACAGTAGGGTGTGATAATCATGGACAGAAATTGGTTACTTCCCTGGGGAGGTGGCAAACCATTGTTTCTGAACCTGCCCCCAAATGTGAAGGCTGCTTTGCTCTTTAAAATGGTCCATCTTTTCTGAGTGACCCTGCTGTATGGGGAACTCCCTTCTTGCATCCCCCACCAAATCCTCTAGGTGTATGTGGGGAAATCACCACATAGTCCCTGCACTCCTCCCTGCCACCAGCTATAGCAGTGCAAGAGGAGGAGCAGGAGAGGAGATAGGGCCAAGGTGCTGCTGCATTGAGAGGGAGTCCTATAACCACGGTAGCTCACCTGTTGCCATGCTAGTGTCTACCTTCCCAGCATCTGAAGAACTAGTACCAGCAGGGAACCTGGAGGCCCATTCCTCCAATCACCAGCCAAGGAAAACCCATTCCACCACCATCATCAGCCTGGTAAAGACCTGCTCCTCCTCCCACCTCTGAGGCCTTCAGCAGTCAGGAGAGACCTGCCCACCTCCAGTTCCAAAAAGGCACTCATCCACCACTGACCACCCAGCCCAACACCTAAGGGGGATTTACTCCCCACTAGAACAACCACCCCATAGCTAGAGGCTGTGGGGTTATTCTTTTGCCACCAGCAGATGTTGTGGGATGGACGGACCCACCTGCCATCACTGCTGCTAGGGTAAGGAACAGCTGCTGGGTAGCAGAGACACATCAGGTAGAGGGGAGAGTGAAGCATGATAAGTTGTGGGCTGAGGGTTGGAGACAAAAGGTTGATGCATTTGGGAGGGAGAGCAATGGAAAGAATTAATGGGTTTAGTGGAGTGGGAGGCAGAGTATTTTTCCCAGGGAATGTTCACTTGTATCACTGAGTCAGAACCTTTTGGAGGGTTGTTAACATTTTGGAAGCACATGACCTACATAGAAAGTGCTCATCCTCCACCCAGGGCCTACCTGGGAGACAAGAATAAACCTGCGACAGAGGGAAGCCACTCTGTTTATGTCCCCTCTCCCCACCGAGACTGGGGAGGATCCTGAGCCATTATCATAAATACTGTGTAATTTATAGCTATTGAAAGCTGCATTGTCTGGGTCACTGGAGTGTTTACTTGACATTTACCATCATTAGTTTTTTAAAGAGATACTTACCTTACTGGGAATTCCGATATCATGGGTCTCTCACAACTGAAATGTGAGCAGTGTTTCTCTATCTTTTTGATACCAGGGACCAGCATGCTGCCTTCCTAAACTATGTCAGGGATCTCTCAGAGACCAGCACTGGTCCACGGACCGGTCGTTGAGAAACACTTGTTTAGAGGCACCTTATCTCTGAGTCCTCTGCTTGTTTCTAACGAGAAACACTCCTCACAGAGCAGCACGAAGAGCTGACATTAGGAGCCAGTGTTTATAAGTAGCTAGAGCCGCATTCACGTGTAAACAATGCACATTCTTAAGAATAATCATAGTAAATGTGTGCTTCTATCGAAATGCTCATTGTTAACCTTATCAAGAGGGAACTGAGTATGCTGGTTCAGCAGAAAGTGGAATAAGAATTTGCTATAAAAAGATCATCCAGCTTTAACAAGGTTTCCCCTTTGCAACACTAATACTGGCAGAACTGAACCTCAGGTCGGAAACAATGTGTGGCTTTTGTTTTCCTTCTTTCCCTCTTGTTTTTTTTTTTTTTTTTTTCTTGGTGTTGGAGCTGGAGAGGAAAGTCTCTCTGTAGCCAAGACAAACAAATTACACTTTACAAATCATAGACTTAAATGCCCCTTTTATCATTATTTCCTTAGCACGGAGTGCTAAGAAAATAAAGCACTAAGTAGGTGAAGTGATTGCAGCCCCTTCTCTTGATGGCCATTGGCCAATAAATTCAGCCAGTTGTTTCCCTTTTAAGTCTGTAAAATGTCTCAGGAAATTATCCTGGATGTTTCTCCCTGGTGCCAGCAATAAATAAATAAATAAATAAATAATAAATAAGCCCCTTCTATTATTAACATCCCTTCGGATCTCTCCACTTCTCAGGACAGCAGCAAGCGATCAAAGCCCCCTGACCACAGTAAAGGGAAGGGAAGCATTCAGCCATGTATAGAACGCACTCGCTTACTTACAGTACCTCTTGGCAAGCAGGAGATGAAAAGGAGCTGGAGGAGTGCGAGTCCTGTGTGAGTCCAGGGGGCTAGCTCCATGCTGCCCAGGCCAATGCAACGGAGTGACTGCTCAGGGAGAGGGCTAGCAGGCGAGCTGCTTTTACTGGGACCTCACCAAGTCCAGGCTGCGAGGCATCTCGGATTTCAGACCTCTGCTCACTCCCATCATCACCAGAGGGGAACTACCTTCAAGAGACTTCTCAGGCGTCCAGAAGCGCGACGTCACCCCAAACCTCTCCACTGCTGCATTAACCCTTTCTGGGCTCCAGCAGGCAACCCACTTAATGGAGCATATATGGGGTGGGGATCAATAAAGGGGAATAATGCCCACATTTAGACAGCATTTTTCATCTTCAAAGGGAAGAAATTATAAAGGAAAAAAAATCCTTTGTATGTCTTACCAGCTAGTGTAAATGAGCAGAAGGTGCCTGTATCCCCAGTAGGAGGTGCTCAGTGCAAGGTCCCTTTAATTGTGCAGGAGTTTGTGTGCTGGTGGAATGATGCACGTTAGTGAAAGGCTGGGCATGCTCTGTGCATAGGGAGAGCATTCCTACCACCCCCATCAGTGGCCAGGAATCCTCACCATGTGAAATGTGCTGCTCGAGGATGCTTCTGTCATAACATAACCTGAAGCCGAGCTCTGTGTAGGCTTGAAAGTTTGTCTCTTTCACCAACAGAAGCTGGTCCAGTAAAAGATATTGGACCCCCATGTACTTTGTCTCTCCAACATCCTGAGACCAAGATGGCTACAACATCACCACTGTAACACACATTTTTATGCAGGGATCAAATAATGAATAAGGTTATTTAAAGATTTGTTCCACTATGGCTATAAAATGCAAAGTGCAAAAGGAATGGCTCGGAACACCTACCCTAGGGATGGTTGACAAACTTAGTTTTCTATTGGAAAATGTAGTTTTGTTGAAATCTAAATATTTCAAGGGAACACATCAATTTTTTCGTTGCATTTTAATTTGGTTCAACTTTTATATTATGTTTTAATATTAGATTATATTTTATATTTATAATGCTTTGTATTATAGTATAATGTTTCAACATTATCAAAATGAAGTGTTTTGATGGTTCCAAACTGAAAATTTCTACTTTTTGTTCCCATTTAGAACAAAAGCTAATTCAATGTTGGAATTTCCTGCTGCATGGAAATTCTCTTTTCTGACCAGCTCTACCATGCACCTACATCTCCCTATAAGGTCTCTAGGTAGGTTGGGCAACTTCAAGAATCTCAGAGCAGTAGCCTGTGGCATGAACAACATGCCTCCATGATCCATCCCTCCCAACTATTTTCCTTACTGTCACAGAATCCTCCCCTACTGGTGGCTCCTCATCTGCCCCCAGCCCCTGGCAGGAGGAAGAGCAGCTGTAGAGATTTGTGATAAAATCTAAGGAGTTGGCAGCACAGTTTTTGATTTCACTTTGCAAGAGCGCATGCAAATATTGTTTTCTCAGTTTCGATCCTCGTCAGTTTGAACTCCCAACACCGGTGGCTTCTTGTCTCATTTTGAACCCAAAATCTCCAAGAGCAGCCTGGTTGAAAACACTAAGCTTCACCTGCTCTCACAATAGAGAAGTAGGAAATCAGAAATCTGACATACTTTAGATGCAAAACTCTAAAAAAGCCCAGGTTCGTGAGCCTTATAGGGACCATGTCACTGACCAGACCTGATTCCTGACTGCCAGCTCTGCCACTCCAGTCAGTAAACTAGTCATTCTCCTCTCTGTGTAAGAAAAAGACAAAGGTCACTCAAAATAGCTGAAGGATCTTGGAAAGAATAGAACCTGGAGGTTTTATCGGCTTACAAAACAAAACAGCTCTAGTGTCTGTGGAAACATGAATAGCTTCTTTTATGCCCCTAGTTTATATGTTACTTGATGAAAGAATGTAACATAGGCAGTCTCGGTAAGAAAGAAACTGCAGGTTAGCTTACAGCTCCCGGAGGGGGTGTTCCACAAAGGTCTGAATAGAAACCTGCTCAGGCTACCAGGCAAGGGAACACTCCAGAGCATTAAAGGATGCTGGATACAGGGGAGTGTAGAGTTAGATACTGGACAAGGGCCAATAACAAATGGAAGGAATTGAGAGGGGCCCACTAGTGTTCCTGTATTTGAGCCAATTCCTGTGGCCCAAGTAAGAGCCGTGGCAGTCCTTGAACACAGCAGACTAGGGGTGGTTCCATTTTAAGGGGCATAGAATGTGGAGAGCAACTTTGCAGGGGCTCCTTGTGTCCTAGCACAGAGGACTATTTTCTGGGTGAGGTGGGCCAGAGCAGAGCAGGGCCAGTGGATCTGACACTAGGCTCCATCCTGCAAAGTGCTAGTACTCCTCTGATGGGCTGAGAACCATCTGCTCCCATTGACTTTAGTGGGAGGTGAGGATGCTCAGCACTACTCAAGAATGCTTAGCACCTCGCAGGAGGGACTCTCCATGTGGATCCACCACCATAACCGCCCTCCTCTATCCCCAGAGAGTGGTTGGCGCAGCATCCAAAGAGTTGACTGCAGTCATGGACCCCAGAGACCTCCCAGTGCATGGCCCAATATGTAAGATGAACTCTTGACCCAATGGCTCTAAACTGCTTACATAGTGTTCTTGAATATACTTCTTATGTCTCCATTGAGAGGCAGGGGATGAACTAGCCGATCACGCCAGCCAAATATTTCAGGCTGTATGTAACTCTTGCTGACAGAAAGCAAATAGCTGAAAGTTCTGAGCCCTGTGTGCTGTGCTGCTCAGGAATCTCACTGTAGCACTTGGCTACAAACTTTATATCTGTCCTGGTGCTGCACATACAGTGTACGGGTTTGAAAACTGCATGCCAGTCTGCAACTGAATTGTAAAACAGAGCGTGCAGGCATGGTGGTGTGAAAACTGCAGGCAACGTGTTATGACAGAAATTAGAGAGTAGCTACCCATCAATAATCCATCATTTTGTTCTGTGTTTGTACAGTACCTAGCACAGTGGTCCATGATGAGGACATCTAGGTGCTTCGGTACTACAAATAATAATAATTAATAAGTGACTAATTAATGATTAAGGGATAATTTAAAAATAATTTGCATTTCCATAGTGCTCTCCATCCAAAATTGTAAAAGTGCTTTACAAACATTGTGTATCCCAATCTGTGAAGTGGATAAGGATTATCACTATTTTACAGCTGGGGAAACAGAGCAATGAAGTAACATCTTCCAAACACGACAGTGAGTGAGTGACAGAGCCAGGAAGAGAACTCAGGAGTCCAGATTCTTCGTCCTATAATCTAACCACTAGACACTGACTGTTGGGTATGGGTGAACTGATTTGAATAAAGTCAGATCAAACCCGAAACTAAGCCCATTTCACAGGCTGAGCCAGAAGAACAAAGCTTTTTCTTTTTTTTTAATGTTTAGTGAACTTTTTCTTTGTTCCCATTTCCAGGTACCTCTGCAATCACTTGTTCTGTGTCAGCCCTGGAGTGCTGAAATATCATAAGAGGGTCCGTTCTTTTGTGACTTCCACCCCAGTCTTGCAGTCCAAAGCAATTTAGATTATCAAGATTTGAACACTTGCCTAAACCAAGCATGTCAGTCTGAGATTTGCTCATCCCCAATACCACTGACCCATTGTCCTATCTCTTTCAGCAGAGTTTGGTCCTGATTCTGCAGTTTTCTCTCAGGCAAGATGCCCATTAAAATCACTGGGAGTGTTTTCTGCTAAAGAAAGAATTTGAATACTTGCAGCCAAAACCTGAAGCCTGTAAAGTTTTGTTATGGGCGTCAGTGACAGCATGATCATGCCCACCTTGCGCCAGTCAACAATGAAGAAACCATTCAAGGTAGAATGTAAAAGAAAATGAATTAGTCGAGATGCTGGAGTGGGTTTATATCTCAGAGTGGAAATTACATTCAAATGAAAATCAAACCTGAGGCTTTAGGAGTAGCAGAAGCAACAGTTCAATGAAAGATTAACACTAATGTTTTATTCCTCCCCTCAAAATGTTATTGCTGGATGAGGGAACCCTTTCAGTGGAGAGGTTACAAAGTGTCTACCTTTAAAAGACAGCCTTTAAAAGAAATCCCAGACCTTACTGTAACATCAGAGGACTGTTTTATAAGTTACTCAGTGTATTAAACTAAGGCCATGCTTTTCCCTTTGAGCTTCAAGTTCTACTATATGTGCCCATAATGCAATATCCAGCATTTATGAACTGCAATAGAATTTTATCGGCATTCCTCCAGAGGCAGCTAAAGGCGAGAGCTGTTTGCAGAGCTTTGTCTGGACTCAGTTGTATAGTCTATTCCCATCTCTGAGCAGGACCCTTAGCCTCAGCAACAGAAATATTCCTCTTCGCAATCCAGGAGAGCCCGTGAGCCAGAATGGAAGTAACCAAAAGAACTGGAGGCCATAAAATTGGCATTAATTATTGACTTCAACCTGATGGGACTTATACCAATAATAATAGTGTTTTTATTTGTTAACATATTTATTCGGAAAATGGAGTCAGTTTAAAGTTTATGATTGCAATTATATTTCTGGGCAGATGACCAGCAAAACAGGGCCAGACAAATGTAAATGCTTAATGGAATCTAACAAGCCATATGTTTCTTTCAATGTTATTTCATACCTTGATTTGATTTTACTCTTAGTGATTCCTTCTGTGTTCTTCCTTTGTATACAGTATATAATGATCTTCACCATGGCAACCTGCAGTGAGAGAAGAAGGTGGGAGAAGTGATAGGCAATTACAAGACTAACTAATATCCAAGCCCCAACTATCAATCAACCAACCACTGACAGCACCAAGAGTCGAGCAGGCAAAGGCGAACTAGGCAGCTGCATATGGCAACAGATTTCCGGGCAGCTGCCCAGGGC